GAGGGAGAGTTCCCCTCGCCTACAGGAAGCCACGACCATGTGTCAGAGCAGGGAAGATGGCCGCGGGTCGTGTTCGTCACCCGATGCGGAGTTCGCGAACGGAAGTAAAATTTTGCGAACGGTGCTGTTCGTGACCCGAATTGGTCGTGAACAGAAGCGTTCATGACCCGAGGTACCACTGTATTTAACTTTCTTCCTCTTCCATCATGTGTTTTGTAGGGTCTCCTTTCTGTCACAATAGCAACTTTTTGAGGTTCTTGTTATGTTATGGTGAAGTTCTATGTGTATAACAGGAGGGACAAATGAGAGATGAGCTTTTCCTGAAGATATCTGATTCTGTGTGTGAAGCTGTCTTATCTAGCAAAGGAAATCCTCAACCAGCCTAGCACTTAGTGGGCTAAAGGTATTAATTGTATAAAATGTGCCCTAAATGCCTCTCTGACTCTCTACTGCACACATAAGAAAGAGGATATTAGAAATCTTTGTGCTACTCAAAAAGATTTCCACCCAGTTTGAGAGATTCCAAAATGACAGTCACCCTTAAATGAAAAGCAAAGAAGTAATTTTTACTGAAGCCATCTGACCACTGATCAGCAAGAGAGGATCTGATACCTTGTGACAGGAGCCCTGACCCTTTTTTATTTTCAGGTCCTTGAGGACATCTAGAGAGAAATAAATATTTGCACGGGGCATCTCTTTTCATCATGCACGTTCTTCTGCGATATTTCCTCCTCTCTGTGCTTCTAAGAACAGGTAAGGAGTGAGTTTGTAAGATCACTCTAGGACAGGGTTTCTCAATGTTGGGAACTTTAAGATGTGTGGCCTTCAACTCCCAGAATTCCCCAGCCAGCCACCGCCTGGGACCCACCAAATGTAATTCCCTGAGAGACGGGCTCCGCACCATGCCTTCTCTGCCAGCCCTTGTCAAGCTTGTGGGCTTGGTCTTGTCTTCTCTGGGTCATAGTCTGCTTCTTCTACATTATGGTTCTGTCTTCCAGGTGCTACTTTTCAGTGTGGAACCTGTCAGAAAGATGGAGCTTCAACCTGCACATCCTCACTACAGCCCTGTAACGCAGGTGAACATTCCTGCCTGAGTAGGCTGAATATAGACATCACAGGTGGGTGAGGACCATTGTTAACCTGACAGTGGCCAGGTAGACAACCCAAAAACATTCTCAGTGGCATCAGGTTGACAAAACTTTTGTTCAAGTTCAGTTGCAAGTAGGATTGTCAAAGGTAGATGTCCAGACAACTCTCATGGCAATTTTAGCTATTTTTTCTGTTCATGGGGCTCTTGCAATGAATTACTGCTCAGATTTACAACTGAACATTGTGAGGAATTTTGTCAGCTCTCTTAATGGAGACAGTGATTGTCAACTAGTGTCAATTGCTATTAAGTCACTTTGTTCAAGCTTTTCAAAACTAAATTATTCCATCCCAGCCATGTGTGTTCCAGGAGGAAAGGCAATGCTCCTGGAATGAACAACGGGCTAAAACAGTTTTGTTCCTTTTAATACCTGAGATCTGAAATGTTTTAGAAGCACTGATTCTACTACATCCTTAATGTCAGAAGCTTTTAGAACCTTGGGAGAGAATAGTAGGTCATATTTTGTAGTCCCTCCACAATGGAAGAATTCTTTACAATCTGAGAGTTCATGTTGTAATAAAGTATGTCAGAAAAAAGACAGATTCATCAGCTAACAAGCAAGGGAAGGTGGAATGTCACAGAAAGAACTCCAGAATTATTTAAAATACCCAAGAAGAAATAGAAATCATTAAGAAAAGATTAAAAAGGATGTTTCAAAATCAGATACAGACAGAATTAGCTCCAGCTTTTGAATTTAAAAATCAAGTCCAGTTCTGGAAGACGGTTAATGGGGGTATGAGATCAAACTTCCCCAAAGCAATGGTTATGCCATCTTAATGTTGTACTTAAGATTGTAAACAAGTAGATACCAGCAAGGTTCCAGAAGCAGCAAGTTGATTATATGGTGAAGTATAAAAAAAAAAACTAGATTATAGAGTACCATTTTTTAAAAAACGTGGATTAAATAAACTTGACTGGTCATATCCCCCTGGTAGAATTTAATCATAGTGCTACAAACCTTTTTAAAAAGGGGATCATTCATTGCCCATTCATTAATATAGACTGTTTACTCAGATAGATATTCCTTTTTGCCAGAAACCAAAAGGAATGTTGGGTTCAATGGGTGCAAATCACAGAGGAAAAATTAATAGGTCCTGGATTCTAAAGTCATACCTTAAATCCGAGGTGCGTAATTTGAATAAACAAGGAACGCATACATCCATAAGTCTTGGATAGCTTTCCAAAGCTTTTCCTAAAGATGCCACTGGATGGTAATTTTTAACCAGGAAAATCATTAAATTCACCGGGAGTGATTAGATTAACTGCACTGACTTCCTACAGTTTCACTCTTGCCTTTAAATTAAATTACATATCATTTTTTCCCTCCTCCCTTTGTTTATGCCCCACCCACTTTTGGGAGTGTGATTTCCCCTTCTCTGCCATTTAAAGGAGTGGCTCTCCACCCCATTAGGACCACGAAAGCAAATATGGAGTAAAGAGAATGACCTTGATAGAGACAAGAATGGTCCGTTACCAAAGCAGCAAAGAGGGAAACCTTGCTTGAGTCCAAATGAGATTATGAAAACATCTTAAACAGACACTCCCCTAATTCACATGAATATAAAAGAGGGAAGAGGGGAAATACAATCAGACTTGCAAGGACATGTCACTATAGCCAAATAAAAGTAGTTTTTAGTCTTCTGGGATGTCTGTTTCATGGTCTGGTCTGCCTTGCGGGACTGACACTCATGACCTCAATGCCTCCACCTTCCACTTTTTCCTGCAGGTGACAAAAAGCATACCAGGATAGAGATGGGTTGTGCACCCCCTTCTCTCTGCAACGCTCAGCTTATTCGTCTGGCTTTGGGGAAAGGAGTTTACATGACAAAAGTGTCAAGTTGTTGCAACACTGATAGTTGTACGCCTCCCGCTCCCTCAGGTAGGTCTTCTCTTTTTCTGCCCATGCAACCACTTCACCAATATTGGTTGTGCTGTCAGAGAGCAGGATCTGGATCGGGAATACCAATGTTAAAAAATTCTTGGCCAGGATTATTGACGTAAGGCAGTTGCAAGAAATTCAAGAGTGGTGAATACAGGTACCCGTGGTGTGGGGTGAAGGTTGGGGAAGTGACAAAACGTTATCATCATACAATCTCTACCCTTGTGATGGAATCCTCTGATCCTGGGAAGGAAAGTGGGCGATTCCAAATACCGCAGAACAAGAAATGTGAACATTTTTAAAGTATCAAGTCTTCAGTAGCATCTTCTCCTTTAAACCAGGAGTTCAAGAAAGAAGGTCAAGGCAACAGGGAGACCTTGCTTTAATGCACTACTTATAAATGAGGGCCAAGGAACACATATCTAGTTTCCAAGTTTCTGCAATCTAATCCCTGTTTTCATGCAATAAAAACACCTACCCTGAGTCCAGAAGGATCTTACTTCCTTAGTTGTGAGCTGGTATAAGGGGTTTGACTGGTGTGCAATATCACTATGCAAGTCCAAAAAGGGTGGAGCTTGCAAGAAGACACACATTCTTTCGTTGTGGCCTCATCATGGCTAAGAATACATGCCTACAGTGTTGAATATAGGTAATCCGTGACTTATGACCACAATTGGGATCAGAATTTCTGTTGCTAAGCAATGTGGTCATAAAGCAAGACGTCACGTGACTGGATCGCTTAGCGACCATAATCCTGGCAATTCCCCTTGCCATCGTTAAGCAAATTCCACAGGTTGTTAGCCAAGGACCCACCCCAATCCAAACCATTCCAGGCTTGGCCCCTCCCAGCCCAAGCCTCAGGAGTCTCCAACTCTCCCCACCCGCCTATCTCCCCTCCCATCTCTGCCCTTTTGGCTGCCGTGCACCAGGCTGGCAAGCAGCCCCAGAACCGTGTGACGCTGGGGCTGCAAGAAGCCCCTGAACTGCTGCAGCAGTACGAAGCTGCAGCTGTCCTAGCCCAGCTACCCCAAGCCGTGCGAAGCGCAGCTTTCCGAAAGCTCCAGGAGCCCCATGTGGGAAACATTTGCCGGAGAAGCTAGGTCTGAAAAAGAGACAGCGAGGCGCTTCTGCTTCAGCCATGCAGGCTGGGTGCAAAAGGTCAGTGTGGGGAACTGGGAGAGAAGGCAGCTGGGTGAATGAATGCTACATGGGGCGGCTTGGGGTGGTTGGCTGGGGTGTCTGCAGCTTCATGCTATACTGTGGCTCAGGGGCTTCTTACAACTTCAGGCGTGGGTCGTAATGAAAGTCCCTTTGTTCAGCGCTGCCATAACTTCAGACGGTTGCTGAACAATGGTCGTAAGTCGAGAACTACCTGTACATCTACTTTATTAGTAGTGTACCTTCAGTAGGAGATACACCTGGCTAACTTCATCTGGGTGGGAAGCTAAGCAGGGTTGGGCCTGATTAAGTGTTGGATGGGAATAGTCATGGGGAAGTTTTTTCAAAAAAATAGAAGTGGTTTGCTATTGCCATCTTCTGGGATCTGTTTTGACTTCTCCAAAGTCAGTCCTATAATTCTGGGATTTTCTGGTGGCTTCTCATCCAGATTTAGTTTCCAGGTGGGCATTAATCTGAAGTCCCAGAAGGGCATAGCTGTTTCTATGAACTCTATATAACTTGTCTGAAGAAAGTTTCCTGATTCTCTTTTGTTTTGCAGAGCCTTCATTAAACACCACTTACAATGGGAAATACTGTCCAGTCTGCTTCTCAGAGACAGACCCCTGCTCCGATAAAGCTGTTCTGAGCTGTACTGGACCTGCAACATATTGTTTTGATTTTACCATTCTTAATGGTATTTATAATTCTGATTTAACCAAAAAAAGCCCTCTCCTCTGCTCTGAGATTTTATTTTTTTTTTTTAACCACAAAGATTGGGAATGATCAGAACTCAGAGCTAAGTAAAACATGGCATTGGTTGTGGACATTTTTTCCTAATGCTGAACCATTCACTCTCCTAGAATTTGACATGTTTCTGTTTTTGTCTGCAAACCACAAACCTGCTTAGAGAATTTTTAAGTAGCGGCAATAATAATTTGTTTCAGTTACTTTGTGCAGTTTTGATTCTTTAATTGGTGTTGTATTTTTTTTCAAATTTTGCTGGTCATTGACAGCATTTCATTTCATTTGATTCTTTAATAATTTTGAGTATGTTAAATATGTTGAATACTATAAATATGGGCAATGCTTATATTCTTCTGAAACTATAAATGTCAAAAGATCTCAAGCTCCTCCCTCCCTCCCTCCCTCCCTCTTAATTTATTGATTTTTCCACCTTCTTAAAGTTGGCTATCCTGGGGAAATGATTTTGAAAGTAATGTTTTTGATTAAGGAAAAAAAAAAGGATGGAATTTGTGCCCTACTTCACTAACTAACTTCCCTTTGATTTTCTTGTCTAGCTACTACACATAAAGAGAGACACATAAAAGGATGTGCCACAAAAACTGTCTGTAATACTCTAAAAGAATACAAAGGACCACTTATAGGACCATCAGAAATCCATAATGTAATCTGCCAAGAAGCTAAGAGCAACAGCAGTTGTTTATCCCTCGAATTCTTCCTCCTGGGTCTTCTGCTGATGAAGACTTTCCTCTTTAGTGCCTATTGAAGAACCGTGTCGGACTGTTTGCAGAGGGTCAAATTGAGTTCTCCACTCAATTTCCCCAGTTTGGCCATTTGAAGCTATTTTGTTTTTCTTTTTACCTGAAGAAATCAAAGGCTTGTGAGATTGAAACTGAAATGAGATCTGGCATTGCTTTACTGATCCATTGATGAAGTTGGACATCAGGGCTGCAATAAATGTTGATGTGAAACTCACATTGGTTAATCTTTGAAAGTCCCAAATGGCATGGAAGATATTTTATCCTGGATCCCTTGTTTGATTGACTCCCTGGCTTGACAAATCTTTAGATTGTGTGTCTGTTCAGCAGTCTACCTGGCGTCTCAATATGGTGGAGGTTTGAGATATGAGCTGAAGCTTCATTTCAAGGACGAAGGTCCCATTGTCACAGCGATCTAGCTAGACGCACTACTGTGACAGTTTCACCTCTTATCCATAGTCAACCAAGTCTTTTGTTCAGAGCCTTTGGAGGAGGAGAAGCAGAAGCCACCAGCTTTTGGGTGCCATGCTGCATCTTCTGCTAGAACCAAGAAAATCCTTTGATTTCTCAGTCAGCTACTGACTTTGGCTTCAGCTGCTTTGCTTCCATTGAAGATGCAAACTTCCTGCCTCATCAGCCCAGACAAGTCTTTGAAAAGTCAAATATATAAGAAATAAAATACATATGCTGTTTATTTTCTCAACTGTCATATTTGGATAAAAATTATGTTTAGGTTAGTTAAATGGGTAATGATGTAATTTTGGTGAACAGGGGATGTTAATTCTTTCTTTCTTTCTCTCTTTCTTTTTCTTTTTTCCTCCATATTGATGCTGCTACCCTTTAATCTCAATTGCGGGAAGAATATACCCATCCTGCTTTTCAATTCCTGCCAACAGCTTTCCTCACAGTAATGGCATTTATAAACATCTGGGCCAGGTGTTCATTCCCTGCTCCCAACAGATTGGGGTTTTAAAAACACAAATCTCTAGGCCCGAGAAAGAGGGGTGAAGACCTTAAGACAGAGAGTCTCCTGTGTTCAAACCGTCTACTTCTGCAGGCCTACACAGGAGAGAAAATGAAGATTTTTTCCAAGGCAGGGATCTGCAATTAGAGCTCAGACTGAGTGAAATCTCTTCCTTCTCATAGCTTCCTCTGGATTCCATCCAACAGGAGATGCCCACAGTGATGATTGAGGTAGTTTCACTTTAAGAAAAAACAGAATCTTAGAATCTGGGGTGGCAGTTACTGGAGCTGGGAGCTTAAACTGGTGCAAATATTTTGGGTTCATTTAACTGGTAGTGGCTGCTGGCAATAAGTAAGAAGGACAACTTACCTGAACTTGCCTTGTCCCTCCCAATCGACAACTATTTTGGTAAGATATAAAATCGTCCAAAATGTGGTCTAGTCCATGGTTTCCAATAGGACCACAGAAAGATTCATTTCCTTTCGCCCATTCTAACTCCTGGAGTGAATGTTTAGGATCTAATGGCTGCTATCCAAAACCAAAGGACTCATGAATGCATTTCTGTTTCTGTTCATCTATGGGTAAAGTGAGTCAAGGAGTTGTTGAGCTTTGCCATACTGCAATCAGTCTAATTTTCAAACCGTCCCCAATGCACTGCGAGTAGCATGGAGCTGAAAGGACCTATCCCTGAGTTTGAGACAGAAACACTTTTACCTTTGCAAAGGCGGCTTTTTCGCCCCGACCCAACAATACAAATCACAAGGATTTCAGGCAAAACGAAAAGTGTTAATTAAGGGGGGTCGGGTCTTTTTATAAGTTACAGAAACAAATGGTACACAACGTTTGGTACACGTGATACATCAGAAAGCAACTAATCAAACAATAAAATACATTACACGAGAGAATTGAACAATAGAAAACATTGATTACAGATACCTTTCCACGAGTGGCAAATCTATGGGTTACATTGTTGTGCCAGGAACTCTGGGGGTTTCTAGCCTGGCATGCAATTTTGCCCAATAAAACACACCAAGGGTGGAGATAATAAAATATTTATTCTGTGCAGAACGAAGATGATGCACAGGAATATTTTCCAAAGCATGCACGCCCGCTCTCAAGTTAACAGAGTTTTTATACATTCTTGCAACAAGATACAAAGTCATAAACTGTACATTCTTCATACACAAAGGAATAAGCTACGCAGAGTGTGGAATTCTCAGTCCATGCCCTCTATTCTATGCCTACACTTCTTACAGATACTAAAGAGACACCTGGACATGCCATCTTTTCAGTTTCCTCACATCCTTTACTCCCTGATCCTTGCTCTTGGCATTGTTAACTCTTTCGCACGCTGCCCTACTGCGCACTCGTTATTACAGCTGAAAATGGAAGTTACATCAGCAAAATGTCCTTGTGCGCTAATGCCTAAAGCTAATTATAATGTTAGCTCTCCACCCAGGGGTGGTGTAAACTGCTGAACTTTTAGTAAACCCTTAGAGAAGTGTTTTTTCTTTACTGCACAGCTGGCAGAAACTTTTTTTTTTTTTTTTTAAGCTCAGGCGGCTGGCGTAATGGGAAGAAGAGATTAGCCTTCTGAGTTCTACTACGTGTTTTATATACAGAATAAGAGGATTTAGAAGGTCAGGATAGCAGAATAGCTGTGAATAGCTGAATAGTCTGAAATTCTGAATAGTCAGAATAGTTCTGTTCATAGCACAGCCAGTTTGGTGTAGTGGTTAAGGCACCAGGCTAGAAACCAGGAGAATGTGAGTTCTAGTCCCATCTTAGGCACGAAGCCAGCTGAGTGACCTTGGGCCAGTCTCTCTCTCCCAACCCTAGGAAGAAGGAGGAAATGGCAAATCAGTTCTGAAATCTTGCCAAGAAAACTTCAGGGACTAGTCCATGTAGTCACCAGGAGTCAATACTGACTTGAAGGCACCAACGCCCCCCCCCCAAAAAAACCCCCAACAACCCACCGAAGAGCAATCCAGTCAATGTCTCCTCCATCCTTCCTTTGTTCTCAGGTTTTAACCAAGCCAGGTTGAGAGTCAGTTTGGTGTAATGGTTAACACAAAGCCAGCTGGGTGACCTTGGGCCAGTCTCTCTCCCAACCCTAGGAAGAAGGAGGCAATGGCAAGCCACTTCTGAAGATCTTACCAAGAAAACTTCAGGGACTAGTCCAGGAAGTTGTCAGGAGTCAACACTGACTTGAAGGCACACACACACACACACACACACACACACACACAAAGCCATTATAGAGGCATGACTAAGAGACTTTGTTTTTTGAACTTCACATCAATATATATGTTTTGAGATGAGAGACAAGGAGAGTCAGGCTTGTACTGTAGGACTCACTGACGATGTGAAGGTTTGGAGTGCATTGAGCATGTACATAACTTTGATGCACAGATGTCTGCTGGAAGTTATAATGTGGATAATATCACTTGCCCTCACTTGGCCCCTGCAGACATCCATGATCAGACTTTGATTCACATTCCGCCATGAGAGAAGGAAAATGTCAATATTTTTTTGCTTGTTTAGACTGAAGGCCCTACGGCTCAAATGTGTGAAACTATTTCTCTTGGTTTCTCAGTTCTGCAAATCTGTCAAGGTTTTTCACACAGCACATGGATGCCAATGCACATTTCACTGAGCTCATGCATTTTGTTCCCCAATTTTTTGCCTACCACACACAGATACTGCAAACCATTTTCCTTAAGATAATGCATGGTTTGCACTTTGTTTCCAGGAATATTTATCTTTTTGTGCATTTTCCCTTAACTGGGGCATTCACAAGGGGTCAAAAAGGTAAAGGCGATGGCCATGATGGTATAATTGAAATCCCATCCCATTTTTATCATCTACCATCCCATTGTAAAAAATAGGGACAGCGTTTCAATCACATAGCTGTGGCCACCATCTTTACCTTTTTTTGAGATCCCCTCACCCGACACTTGAATGACAGTTAAACTGTGGTTTCTGTACTGGTTTGAAAATATGAAATTAGATAAATTCA